ATCTGGTGAACTGGGAAGTGCCTTTAAATGACATGATGTGAATTAGAGCTATAGAAATAAACTGAATAGAATTGTTTAATTATCAATTTAGTTTGGACACCAGCACATTAGGTAGATCAGGCAGCAAAAGAAACTGCTAGAAATGTATCAGTGGATTTAATTATTAATTTTTACTAAATCTGAAGTTAAAATGTTAAACAGAAAATGAAGGATAAATGGCAAACGGAATGGGAGAAAGGAAAAAAAAAAGGAAGTTGGTTTTATAAAAGAATTTAGAAAAACAGGAAGAACTATTAGAGAATAAATGATTAATTCTCCATTGAGATCTGAGCTTAATGGCTTCAACAGAACTCTGTTTATCTTGGGGAAACATGAATGGGTAAATGAAACTATATAACATGTGATGTTCTACTGAGATAAATATGAAGAGGAGAGACAGCAGTTCCTTCAAAATTTAGGTAAAAATTTAATTAGATTTATTTGAATTATTTAGAAGATCTAAAAATAACAGGGGGGGGGTTGATGCCGGGTCACCCTGCATCTCTCTGTCCTGGAGGCCATCTGCCTCCATCTTGGGTGGATAGGGACTCTGCCAGGCTGCCTGGCCCTTACTGCTCTCTAGAAACTTTATTTTTTTGGTAGACAAATCTGCCTTAAGTCATGTAGGCTCCTCCTTTGGAAAATAAGTTAAAATCTAACCAATCAAATGATCTAATTTAGCATTCTGGCTGAAGTCACTGAAACAATAAAAAGATTACTGTAAATGTAATGACACTATTAAAAGAGAATAAACCCTTAAAGCTAGAGACTCCTTGGTTTTAATGATTCTACAAATAGTTTAGAATAATCTAGTCCAGGTTTTATGTGTCAAAGTTTAGTAGTTTTTTAATTAGAGTAGATTAAAGATGTTAAAGGTGGGGAAATTAGGTGGAATCGCCCTTTACTCTTTCCCGAATCGGAAGCCAACTTCAGTGAGGAGAACCTCTGGCTTCAAACACACTGAAGGAGGAAAAAGAAATACCTAAATGTAACTTTAAAAAATAATCTGACGTTAAGAAGATGAGAGCTTCGGGTTCCGGGGTGAAGTCTTGTGGTTTAGATGGTAAAAAGCGACCAAAGGATGGGGACATCCAACACGTCATGCTTAGAAGCTCACAGCCAAACCAAACTTTTGGAAAACTACCTTCATTCTCTGAGATTAACTCCATAAAATATATGCCGAATTTTAGAGAGGCATCCATGTTGACTGGTTTCCAGCAGTAAAAGGTATTCGGTAATAAGTGGGATTAAAAACTGCTGTTTTCATAAACTCATCAGTGAAATTCGGCAGAATGAAGCGTTAGCTGTTAGCTTAGCTGTACTCACCTCTCTTTATCAGCGGGGTTTTCAGTCAGATGAGCCATCGCTGAAGCTAATATAACACAGCTAACATACACGGTTAGAAACCAGGTGTTTATTCACCAACACAACCTAAAAAACAATAAAATATGGATCCATTAGCAGCCAGCTGCTGTAAACAGCGGTGAGGACGCTAACGGCTTATTCTTCAAACTAAATGAGGGCAAGAGTGACTCGGAATGCTTTATACTGCCACCTCCCGGCTACCTGGAGAATTAAACATCTCATTTCTACACTTAAAAACAAAACAGATCTTCTGGGAATAAGAACGCAACAAAATAAATAAATAAATAAATAA